ATACCTATCTATATGGTCATGCCATACTTCGGTTGTGTGTTCGTATAAGTGTTTTGTTGTACCTGGTTCATACTTCATCGTACTTATAGTAATTTAACATACGTAGCTATATTTGCTGGTAACTCGGCTTCATAGTGCGTGATGTTTCATATTTCATCGTACTTATAGTATTTTAACTCCCATAACTATATTTGCTTGTAACACGGCTTCATGGTACGTAATGTTTCATTCTTCATCGTACTTATAGTAAATTAACGTACGTAACTATATTTGCTTGTATCACGGCTTTATAATACGTAATCATACGTTCTCTTTGTTTGCTTTCTTTAATATCGTCTAAAACATTACAAACTTATTTATCGGACTACAATGTAGTTGTATTATATTTGGCCATGAACTCGGTATTTGTGTCGGAGCAAGTAATCTTGCTGCGCGAAAGCCCTGCGACAGTCCAGAAAAGCACACTGCTGTTGTCTTGGCAACATGAGGGTAAGTCACAGTAAGTCTTGTGACGCCAGCCTTTCTCATAATCGTCTGCTGGCACTCGGCATAGGCACAGACTAACAAGCCTGTCTCAGATGGATGTGACGATTAAATACGTGTATCACAGCGTAATGATCTCGGAACCAACCAACCTTACTGTGATGATCTCGGAACTAGCCAACCTTACTGTATGATGATCTCGGAACCAGCCAACCTTACTGTGATGATCTCGGAACTAGCCAACCTTACTGTATGATGATCTCGGAACCAGCCAACCTTACTGTGTGATGATCTCGGAACCAGCCGACCTTACTGAGTCTATGTGTTTTCGTGTTGGCGTAACTGTCCCCGACAAGGCGAGCGTCTGGCCACACCCAGGCCAGTCGCAGGAGAGAACCTTCGTATAGTGCGCTTCTACCTGTGCCGTTGCGTGAACGATATAACCTAACATGCGCATGAGCACTAAGGTGTACGTATACTTCGCATCAATTACAGTAGTAATTAGCGAGAGCGAGGACCATGCCAATGCTCGTATTGCATCTATGTATCAGCCTCAACCCGTCTAGTTGTACCCGTTTTAGTCACAGGCCTGCGACTCGGGGCGTGACTCAGTACTGTGTGTGGCCTTATGTGCATTGAGAGCTTCCTGTGTCGTGGCAATATGCCTGCAGCTGGGGATATCGCACGGGTAGACGGCCCCGTGCGTCCGTACGTGACGTGCTAAGTCTTGTTTATACACAAACGTATAGGTGCAGGATGGGTAGGGACAGGCGAGTGTGGCGGTCAGGTGTTTCTCCTTGTGCATGGCCAGCGCATGCGCACTCCTATAGCTTTTGCTACACCCGGGATGGTCGCAGAACACAGACTCCGACCGGTTCGGGTTGTGCGTCTGTCTGTGGCGTGCCAGGTCTCCTTTGAGCCCAAAGGTCTGTATGCAGGACGGGTAGTCACACTTGTATGTCGCAGACTTGTGGGTAGCCTTATGCCGTGCCAGACGCCCGGGCACCACATAACTTCGGTCACAGCCGGGGTGATCGCATTTGTATATGGGCTTCACCCCATCCGCACTATGAGTGCGCCGGTGGACCAACAGATCTTTTCTAAACGCAAACGATTGGGTGCACAGGCCACAGTCGTATGGAGAACTCCGGTGCCTCTCCCTGTGCTCTTTCAGGGCCCAGGCACTCATATAGACCCTATTACAGCCGGGATAGTCGCACGCATAGACCTGTTTCTGGTCATCGGGCGATGCCATTTCTTTGTCCCGACTGTGAGGCGTGCGAGAGTCTTGGTCCCGTATGACAGACGGGTGTGACAGCTCTATATGTGCTTTTAGTCTCATACGCGAGCTGAAACTCTCCTGGCACCCGGAGACGGGACACGCTATATTCGGAGATTTGACGTCTTTGTGCACTACCCGGTGGCTTCTGAGTGCTTTCTTCGACGTGAGTTTCTCCCCACAGCCAGGATGGTCACAGACATACGTCACGCTATGGATTTTGCCTATGTGTCTGTCCAGCATACTCTTCAGCCTATAGGTTTTCCCGCAACCGGCAAACTCGCACTTGTACTCAGAAGACCCGTCCAGCTCGTCTTGTGAGTGGGTCTTCCTGTGATCTTCAAAGGCATGTTTGGTGACGTATGTCCTCTCACATCCTCCCACGTCACAGGTGTATTTGCTGAAGTCTTCATCGGAGAAGTGCGTGTGCAGCACGTGATCCTTCATCAGTTCGGCTGTGTCAAAGCTGGCTGTACACCCGGGCCACATACAGCTGTGCGATCGCTCCTGTGGGTTTAGCAGCGCTGTAGCTGTACGTTGCGACACGCGCAAAGGTGTTCGTTGGCTGTGGGAGAGTGACACAATAGGCATGTATTAAGACGGTGTACACTGTACAGCTTCAAACAGAGTGCGGAAGTGACTACAAGATCCGTGCTTACAGAGAAGAAGAACAGCTGTGTCATATATAACCGAGTGTAATTGTTCGGTACAGATGTGTGAATGGCAGAATGTTTCCAGCATAATTAGTCGGCAGTTGTCTCATTAGAGATCGGAACGGCCAGGAGGTCATGAAAGGGTAGTTATATAGACTTATGATACTTTAATATAACACATACATATCAAGAAATAAAGAAATATATATATATATATGTATGTATAATATATATAAAGATGAATATAGATATAAATATATGTATATATATATCGTATACACACATATATATATAATCATACATACATATATATATATATATATATGTATGTACATGTATGTATACACACACACACACATATATATATATATATATATTTACATGCTTCTTTATATATATATGTTGGTATACATATACACATATACAAATATATATAGGAATATGTATATATACATGATATAATATACGTATATATATATAGACACACACACAACACATATATATACATATATATACATATATGAAATAATATACGTATATATATATATTTATGTATATGTATACATATATATATTCATCATATATATATATAGGTGTGTGTGTAGATATATAGGTCCAACAATTATATATATATATATATATATACACGTTCACATACGTATACATAAAAATCTATTTTCTTAAATGAATATGCATGTGCATGAATATGAACATGTACATATACATAATATATATATATATATGCACATACATATACATACACCGATAAAAATATATACACGTGTACATAAAATGTACATATACATACATACGCAAACACCCACACCCACACACGCAATTATATATATATATATATATACTAACATACGTGTACATATATATATATATATATAACATACGTGTACATATATAT